GGTTGCTATGGAGGAGGTTCTTGGACATCCATCAACTTATAGCACATAACGCTATAAAACTGTGTTTATGTAGGCAAGTCACATCGTTAAAACCCAATTTCTCGCCATCGATTCTGTACCGAAAAGTGATTAGTTATCAAACACTAATTTAGGTGACATCAGCGACAAGGAGAAAGAGAGGGAACTGAAACGGAGAACTTTTAGTCCAGTCACAGATGCATAATGAGCGATAATGAATCCTTCATTTAACGATCCTGAAATCTGGTTTATGGATTTATTTAGCACAATTAATGAGTCTCTAAACTTCAGTTTTTGCATTAAAATAAAACAAAGACTCATAAGTAATGTATAGAAACTGAGTGTGTTATATTAAAAGGGATTTGAAGTAATCCACGTCGCTACGACCAATCATGCTTTGTCTGACGACCGTGTATCGTGACGAAAACTCTAAATAGGTTTCGTTGTTAATGGATCTGTCGTAAGGTTGTAATGTGCAAATCACACCATTCTTCAATGCATATTTTCCATAAGACATCTTGTGTACGAAGAAGACGGTTTTCCACCGTCAGTATGTATTAACGGCTCGTCTTCCTATGGAATAACATTAGCATCTGTTTCATTCTCCAGCTGCTTGAGGTATGGGAAAATTGAACGAATGTGTGCACACATAGCTTGTGTCGCTTTTCCCAGAGGAAGGTTCTTCTTGATTATGTCACGCGCTGTTGCCTGAGACACCTAAATGGCTTTTTTCACTGACCTTTGTGTTCGTGGACTACAAGATGCCGAGCTTTTCTTACCACAGCTGGAGTGCGACTTGTTACAGGTATTTTGTTTTTCACTGCTATTTAGTACAAAAGAGATCCCCGTCCTGGGAATGTAAAACCTCCCGATCCAAACACATCGTTATGATCGGAGTGTATGAATATTTTGCGTCAGAAATGGTTGTTACATACGCTCCCAAAAAGCGATCAATTTTCGATGGCATCGTACTACTTACGATTTGTTTGTTTGTTTTGGAATTCCGCGCAAAGCTACACGAGGGCTATCTGCGCTAGCCGTCCCTAATTTAGCAGTGTAAGACTAGAGGGAAGGCAGCTAGTCATCACCACCCACCGCCAACTCTTGGGCTACTTTTTTTACCAACGAATAGTGGGAGTGACCGTCACATTATAACGCCCCCACGGCTGAAAGGGCGAGCATGTTTAGTGTGCCGGGGATTCGAACCCGCGACCCTCAGATTGTGAGTCGAGCGCCTTATCCACCTGGCCATGCCAGGCACACTACTTACGACTCACCAAACAATGTCAAAACGTAGTTCTGATACATGCCACTTAATCGCGATTTTATATCGGCTGTGGTTGTCACGTGACTTACTTATTTACATATTCAAAATCAATTTCATATAACGTACTCAATGTAATTTACCACAATGCTGATGATGCTTGATGGGAATTATTTAACGTGTAAGTGGACGTACTGAAGGTAATTTTCTTGAAGTTTGCTCACACTAGTTTTTTGTTTTTTTTTCAAGAAGCTTAGACTTTTGTAAACAATAAGTGACGTTTTTATTAAAACCCATAACCTCATTGTGAAACTAAGATTGATAAATGGAATCAGGAGAAACCTACAACGTTACACTTTCATGCACCAATGATAAATGAAATTGAGTTGTATAATTTCATGTTAAGAATGTTGCCCAACTAATACTAAGTTACACACAAAAAACCGGTACACTCTCGAATATGTTAACTTATTTAGACAATGTTTGTTTGTTTGTTTGAAGTTAAGCACAAAGCTGCACAATGGGCTAT